CCCCCCCCCTTCTTTAAGACTGGAGCGCACTCCCCTGCCCGACTGGTGTCAGGGAATCCGGTCTGGGAAAAGATTGCAGGGTGGGAATGGCCAAAACCTGATTTGCTCCAGTTGCTCTGGAGGCCTCGGGTCCGTTGCTGGAGGTGTGGCAGGTCAGGGTGTTAGGCCTGTGGTTGGGGCAGGGACGAGGGTGGTCTTGTATAGGGTTGAGATGGTGTTGGTGTGGGATGGTTTGGAGAGGGATGATCCTGCCTCAAGGGGTTGGACTAGGTCACCTCTGGGGATTTGGTCCCTTCCAGCCTTGCTTCTCTCTTACTTTATGACTCTAGCTGTGGGGAATTGTGTGCCCCCCACCCCCCTTTCAGAAGCTCACTTACTTATTCCGTGGTTGGATGGGGGGGGCAGCAGGCAAGGGACTGAGTTTATGCTTACCTGCTTATCTCCTCGCAGCTAGTTGACACCCTTTAAAGGATCTCCTAGTGCCCCTGCCTGTTCCAGGATCCTGGCTGCAAATCACTGGAGTAGAGAAGTGACTCTAAACCAGTGGACTCATTTACAGCGGGCTGGTTTCTCCTGTCTCCTTCACTGCTCTGTCCTTGTGGAGCGAGGAAGGGAAGTATGAGGTACAGGGGCAGCCAGGGGTATGAAAGTTGCAGGAGTCCAGACCCTGTTTTGAAAATAATATGTTGCGCTTCAGCCAAGAAGTGGTGCTGCTGCTTTCTTCCAGCTGCATGGTTTTGTAATGCAAGTAAGCAACAGGTGCGATTTTTTAAAGCCAACTTACTTGTTGGCAATTTGCTTTTCTAAAATAACAATTGTTCAAGCATGGAAGGATCTTGTAGGGGCAGACTAAATGCAAGTTGAATAAACAGGTTTTTAGCAGGGAAACTTGCCATGCTACAGTCTTTAGGATAGTTATTAGACAATGTTAATGGAGGTATGGAGAACTGGTGAGAAGGCTTGAAGCAATATTGCATTAAATACAAAGGTTGTGTTAATAGTCACGTAAAGTGTTTCTGACTTCACGGAAGTACTTTAAGCAAGGAAAGGTACTCAAAGAAATAAATTATTTTTAAGCTTTGATTTTTGAGGAGAATACAGTTCAAGTAATCTTTGTTTATTTTTTCCCTTTTTTGATATTTCAGAGTTCAGCACTGAAATGCATTGGTCCCTGTGACCTAGAGAATGGTAGCCAGGAATAACAGTGTTGTTGTTGTTGCTGTTGTTGTATAGTGTGCGGAAATAGATGAAAGGATCTTAGTTGTTCAGGGAGAAGAAGCAAGAATTAGAAACTTCCTAGATTGGCAGGTCCAGAAAATGAACTGAGCCAAAGGTAGTGTGCTCTTATAACCTGCTTGAATGATGGAGGATAGTAATGTTATCCTTGGTGACTAAGAGAGTGTATCAGATGAATTGTTGAAACTAACTTTGCTTGCCTGCTACCGTCCTCGGAATGAAACAAGTGATGAAGCTAAAATGGTATAGCTTTACTGTAGGACTTAGAGAACAGATTAAGCAGTTTCAGTGGATACTGCTGCCCCCCAACCCCTTTTCATGAGTGTAATCCGTTCCTCTGTTCACACCCTAAACCATGGCCAGGTTGGTGGCAGAGTATCCCTAAGGAAATATGAGTATGTTAAGGTTTTAATGGTGGGAGAAGAGGAGGCAGCAGCTGAGAATGGAAACTTTGCTGAAAGTTGAAGTGGGGAGGAGATGTTCTGAACAAAGCACCAAGAGTGATTAGAGTTATGAGAGCAAAGCTCAGGGAATTTAGGATTTTAAATAAGACCATGGTTGCATGTGTTCAAGAGTTAGCAAGGTGAGGAAGGTCAAGAGTACCACAAAGAGATTGCTTGAGCCTCTGCGGAGAGTGGTGGTGCTAAATGCATTTTTGTATTTGAAATAAGTGAAACATCTGTTATGACAAACCCAAAAGGCAGCTTTGTTTTCAGTGGTGTTTTGTGAACCAAACTACTTTAAAAATTGAACTGAAGAATAAAGCTGTGATTCTCAATCAGGGTACTGTGAGATCCTTTTAAGGTACTGAACAATATCAGCACTGTTAGGTGTGCAAACACCTACACATAATTCACAAGATAAACCCAGAGATTTCAAGTAGGAATTGATAGTGTTAAAAGTGTTCTGATCTGTGTTGTTCTTTCTGAACTCTTTGCAACAGAAGACTAGTTCTAGTAGTTTTTTGTGCTCAAGAAATGAGGGAAAGTTAAGAGCAGGCATTTTTCAAGGGGTGCCTTGAGTAAAAAAAACAAAAACCAACAAAAAAGGTTTTAAAGTAAATAGTAGAAAATTAGTACTTTGGTACAGCAAGGGTAAAACAGTAAGGTATTCATGGACATACAATAGACTTAATGTATTGCTGGGTGACTTATTCTATTATAGTCAGTATTGATTTATTCGGTGTTTAAAACATTTGCTCAAGAGCTTGTAGAAGATACTTGGTTTCTTTTTCAAAGCCAAGATGACTCTAGTCACTAGTTCATTTTTTTTAACTGTCTGGAATCAGATTAGTTGCCTATGATGGCAAGCAGTGTAACTCAAAACTGACAGGTTCTGTGTAGAAATCCAAAATGTTGAGTTAACATCCTTTCCAGGTTGCAGTATCATTCTGTAGTTTCAGAAAGAGGTATCACTGGATTTTCGTGCATGGAAAGAGAGTAACTAGGGCCTTTGTTTTATTAGCAAACAACAAGGAATGGAGACTTAAAATGTCAGTTTAAATGCTTCAGGATACACACATGCAGTCAGCCTTTGTTGCAAGATTTCTGTGGCGTTTGCTTCTCTTGGTAAAAGTTTCAATAAATTACTAGTCAGAAAGATGGGGTGTGATTGCATGTCCCAGTTTTCATTTCATATTTCCTTCATGGTGCACTCAGTCTGCTACTTCTCATTTTTGTCACCTTGCTGCTTGTCTACTCAAGAGAAGTTGTACCACTTCAAATCTGTTTCTAATCTGATTTAATTCCCTTTTTGGGGACCTTTCTTTTACCTTATCACTTTTCAAATTAAATAACTACTATGGATACCTGGGTTTGGTTTTTTTTCATACCTGTGACTCCAGCCTCTTTATGTTGTGTGTGTGACTGGCTTCATTGGCCAAGGAACTGAATGGGGTTGAAGCTAAGGCTTTCTTTTTGGTATAGTTTCTTTCCTACCCTTTGTACTGAGTTACTGGTCAGGGACCAAAAGGTACTTGGGAGGCAGGGAATAGATGTGAAACTATACTAGAGATCCATCTGGTTTGCAGTCATCTTTATGAGGGGTAGAAGTGCACCTCCAATTTAGTGTGAGTGCCAACTGATAAATACCCTAGTCATTGGGATATCTTTTAAGATGGTCATTGGGGCTGGAGACAAGTTACACACCAACTATTTTAAGTGATCAGAAACTGGTTAAAACCTGTAACAGACCAGAAGTTCAGTGCACGTAAACCAGTTTCAAAATGACTGAAATTGATTTAAGACTAACCTGGTAGTATCAGACTTAACTGATTTAGGGCAAACTGGTTAATGAAACTTCTGTCCCAGACCCCTTCCTGGTTCAAGTTAAATCAGTCTCCCAGCCTTGGGTACTCTCAGAGCGCTCAAACAGCTGTGCCAGTGGCTTTGCTATGACACTGGCCAATTCCTTCAGCACCCTTGTGTGAAGTTCATCTGGGCCTGCTGATTTGACCACATCCAGCCTCTCCAAGTGCCCCTTCACTAAGTCTGCACTAACAGCTGGTGGGCTTGTGTCCCTCCTGTGTCTATCTGTGATCCAATTGGGAGATTTGTCTTGATCTGTGTCTCGAAATACAGATGCAAAGAACTCATTGAAGAGCTCAGCTTTGTCCCTGCTCTTTGTCACCAGTTGCCCTAGTATGTCCTGTAGGGGTCCTGTGCTACCCCATGTCTTCCTTTTGCTCCCTGTATAGCTGAAGAAGGATTTTTTGATGTCGTCAATTTTTGTCACCAGCCTAAGTTCTAATCCTGCTTTGGCCTTCCTGATTCCCTGCAAGTGAGAGCCAGGGAGGTATACTCCTCCTTGGTAGCTACCCCCTGTTTTCACAGCCTGTGTATCTCTTTCTTTGCCCTTGGGCTTTCCTGGACTTCCCTGTTCAGCCAAGAGGGCTTCTTGGCCCCTTTGCCCCCTTTTATGCGCAATGGGATTGTCTCCTTCTGCGTCCGTAGGATCGTTCCCTTGAGGAATGACCACCCTTCCTGGACCCCCATTTTATCAGTGCTCTTGAGCTTTAATGCCTCACGAATCTCCTGACCACACTGGAGTTAGCCTTTCTGAAATCTAATACTTCAGCCCTGCTGGTTAGTTTACCTACCCTTTGCCGGATAGTGAATTGAGTCAATCGATGGTCGATATCCCCTAAGTTACCATGTACCTGCAGATTCCCTACCAGGTCATCCCTAGTAGCTAACACCAAGTTCAGCAAGGCATTTCCCTTAGTGGGACTGTATACCTTCTGTGTTAAATGGAGGTCCTGTATGCAGGTTAAGACCCTACGTGAGCAGTTAGATTTGGCTGACTGCTCCTCCCAGCAGATGTCAGGGTGGTTTAAGTCACCCACGATAACCATATCCCTTGACCGCATGGCCTCTGAGAGCTGTCTAGGGAATTCCAGTGGTATAACTCATCCTTCTGGTGTGGCGGTCTATAGTTAAGACCCCCACTGCCAAGTCCCTTTTCCCCTGATCCCTTTGTCCCACTGTGGGTCCCTTTCTGACCCACAGTACCTTGGTTTGGCTCTCCTCTGATCCCATCTTGATTATAGAGGATGTACATTGTTCCTTAACATGGAGAGCAACACCCTCCCCTCCCCACCCCACCCCAATTTTTCCCCACTCTATCCCATCTATGCAACCTGTAACCCTCAGTGCCTGCTGCTCAGTCGTGAGTAGGGTCCCACCAGTTTCAGTTAGTCCAACCAGGTCGAAGTTTTTGCTTGCAGGCAGACTAAGATCTGGCACAGTTGTTGCATGTATGTGCTGGAAACGGAGCTAAGGGAACAGGAGAGGGTCCCAGACTGCTTGAACTGGTGTGACCAAAGAAAGCAAAGAACTATATTTACATTATAAACAGTGGGAGACTGGAATAGCTGAGCAGAGACAACAGACTCTGAATGCATGAGTCTTGCCAAAGATGGTACAGGTGGCAAGCATACTAACGTCAAGGAACCCAAAGCGGGATAAGGGGGTACAAGCATGCCTGTAAAAACCCAAGTAGAGATGAGGCCTGTGGGATCTCCACTCTAACACCTAAGGCCACCTGCTGATTCCCCAAGAAGGACTTCCTGAATACAGGCAGTCCTTGGACTTGCAACACAATTGGTTCCTGAAAACGGCATCTTAAGTTGAAACATTGCGACTTGGAACCCATTTTCCCATAGGAACCAATGTTAAAAATGGGAGTTTGCTTCCTGAACCAAGACCCAATACCCTGTTTTCACCAAAAATAACCCAGAATTTTGTACTCAATCAATTATAGATAAGTAATATAGCTACATTAATGTATATATATTGTAAACAGAATCATATTGATTTGGAAGGGCTTCTTTGAGGTGACTTTGCTGGACTTCTTGAAGGGCTCTTGGTTGGATGTTTCTGAAGGTTCTTGGCTGGATTCTTCTCAGGAGTCTTGTCTGCAGGTTTTTCTGGAGTCTTGTCTGCTTTCTTAAAGTAAGTGTCCAAAGAAGTTTGGACAGATGTTCTCCAGGGAGATGGATGACACAGTGACTTG